TGGATGCAGCGATGAACTGTTTTCATATACTGTCTTTTGGCCTTGTCCCTTGCATACAGAAATTCTCCATATTCTCTGAATCTTTTAATGATATTATGTACTGTAGATGATGGAAAGCAAAGGTTCTTTGCTATTTATGTTGAGAATCGTTATTCTTGAATTGTTGCACTATTTGCTTGTGCAGTCTTTCACAGAGTGGTGAACCTTTCTTCATCTTTACTTCTGAAAGATTCAACCTCTCTGAGATACTCATTTTATACCCAATCATGTTACTGACCTCTTGCCAGTTAACCACCAGGTGTTTTTTTTGGCCTTACACAATTTTACCAGCCTTTTATTGCCCCCGTCCCAACTTTTTTGGAATGTGTTGTTGGCATCAAATTCAAAATAGGCATATATTTTTCAAAAAACAATAAAGTTTCTCATCTTTTCAAACATTTGATATTTTGTCTTTGTACTATTTTCAATGAATTATAGGGTTTAAATGATTTGCACATTATTGCATTTTGTTTTTATTTACATTTTGCAGAGTGTCCCAACTTTTTGGGAAATGGCGTTGTAATTTTCACCTGGGAAAATTTATTTAAGGTACATAATTCGACCTTAAACCCACTGTTGTACCTTTGAGGGAACATTTACATTGTTTGTACCTTGATGAATGAAAATGTACCTGCACAGAACCTTTATTTCTAATAGTGAACAGGGCTCTTTTCTAACCTCGTTCAAAATGCAGTCCGGGCTGAAACAGGCCTTCTAACTTCAGTGTGAATGGGCGGAGCTAAACTGTAGGCTGAATAGGTGTGTAAATGAGCTTTTGCACTATAACAAAAACAACAAATAATAATAATGAAAAAAAGTACGGCAATTTGAAATCAACACAATAGGAAAATCACATAACTAAGTATAACTGTTTATAAAACCATTAAACTAGCTTTGTAGAGCTATTTAGTCATCATATAATCAACTAATAAGCTAATGGTCATCCCTGCATCCCCTCATTCATTTTTCTCAGCCTCATTTGTCATTTATAACATTTTTTGAGGATTTAAATACCAAAAACAGTCATAATTAATTTTTACATGACCATTTACCAACATCTCTTTAGCATTTAGGCTGGCTATACACAGTGAAACTTTCATGCAACTTCAGTTGCTTGAATCCTACATAAAACTAAACTGCACTACAACATAATGTCAAGCATCCTACAACTTACTTGAATCTCAGCCACAACAGTTGCTCATTCCTCAACTTTAAGAGACTAATTTCACTTTACATACTTTATAATAGTTTACAAACTACTGATTTTGTAGCCAGATTCATTTTCTTCTCTTGGCATCCTCTAATTTAACACAAAGCTCAGATTCATTTGGGATTCAAAGGATGAAAATTGTTACAGAGAAGATGCTCCTCAATGAACGTCTTGTGCTACTAGGACAGAATGAGTGAGAGATCAAGTAGTCTATAACCGTAACAGCACTTAAACATTCATTTTCAAAGGCTTATCTTAAAAACGACAAATAAAGAAATCAATTATATAGTAAAGAACCCTATAGAGAGATAGATAACCGATATATAGATGAAGAAAACAGCTAGAAAAATAAATATACAAAGATGATAAAAAAAAATCTGCAAAAATGTAAATAACATCACATGGATGACTAATGAGAACGATACAGTGTATCAATAAGCTGCTAATTTGCTTAAGTATTGGTGTACCAATGTGTTGCATACAACTTTGTTTTTGAATTGCTTTGGAAGTTATGTTGCAGGCAGATCACAACATGCAAGTAGTTGCATGAAGGGTTTACCATGTAAAGCCAGCCTAAGTTAATGGACCATTTCTGTTACTGTGTCTTTAAGACTGATATATTATGTTGTCGGAACAAAATCTTGTGTGTTCATTTAATGTTAAGAACATTTTTTTCCTTCGCCTGTAAACATTTTGGAGGTCACAACACTGACAATATGTAAATGAACTCTGTTGTGATTGACTACACTCATTCAGAAAGAACTCCGGGCTGAAACATACCTTATAACTTCAGTGTGAATGGGCAGGGCTAAACTGCTGTAGACTAAATAGGCATATGTAAGGTTAGGTTTTGTGACATCACAAAAACAACAAAAATCTCAAGAGCCCTCACTTGTCTGATGGATGTACGCCAACAGCAGGTGGACATTGTCTGCTGTGACGTCACCACATGAAGGCTTCTTATAACTAATCATAACTGTTGATTAAATAATACAAAATAACCAAAAAATCATTTTATTACAACTTAATATGGGTCGAAAGATGTCATTTTAACTCAGCCAGACTAACATGACTCGAAATTTAGGTTGTAAGACTCATTGTAAAAGCAAGAGAATGAAAACATATCTGATTGTAGAGATGGTTGGGTTTCCATGCTGGTTCTTGGAGAGTCTCCTGATGTTTCTCAAACCCAGAAGGTCATAAAATGAACCGTTTTACAACAGAATTACAGATTAGCATGACCTGTTCCTTTTCCCAACACTCAGACACAGTGAGGTGGTGATATGGATCTCCTCCAGCCCTCAGCTGCTCCGCTTAATGAGAGCAAAGACCTTCCAGAACCTTCTCTTGTCTCCAGCCGTACAGGACGGTTTGTTATTGGGGTTGCATAGCTACGTATCCATGTGTTCAGTTTTTAGACACCGAATACCAGGGCAGTGGTCGTCCCATGGAGAGCCGCGGAGGTCCATTAGCTCATCTGCTGAGGAATTTGATGAGACTAGCATGGAGATAACAACACATCTTACTTACACTAGCATTAGCAGAGCAGGGTTATATACTAGTCTTTTTGGTGGCTGACACCTTATTAGGGGAGTGTGGGTAAAATGTAACAGATTTTTTTTTTTTGTAGTTATAAAGAAGATGCTTTTGATCATCTCATATTTCTGTAGCAACATCATCTGTGAATGTTTACAGCAATCAGTGATACTTTAGCCTAAAGACTTCTTTTTTACCATACAACCCTGCCATATTAATACAGAGCAATAAAACAAACTATAGAAATGATCCCAGTAATGTGATATTAATCACATGCTTTAAAACAAGCTATAGAAATAAGCCCAGATTATATTAATTCTGTGCTATAAAACCAATCATAGAAATAACCTGTAAAGTTCTAATGTTGAAGACATGAGGGTCTGTTGTGACATGTGACAACATACTTTCATGTATTTAGGTGGGAAAGTCTGTCTGGTTCAAACAGAACTGTACTGACTTAATTCAAGCTGGACTAGTATAGTGAATATTACATCTAGTTCCCCACTTAATTCCACCTGTGGGGTAAATTGTGTCATTATACATGTTTTAAATGACAGACCTCCACCTCATTACTACCCATCAACAGAATCCTACAGTAGTTCTGTTCTTCAGACAGGACTGTCTGTAACAGTGATGATGATGAAGGTAGGACTGAAGTGTGAAGTCATTAAGGGCGGAGCCCGGTGAGGCTTTAGCACAGCTCCATATGCTCCAGCAAAAGTTCCTGCTGGGTTTAATTCACACCATGTGTTAGCAGAAAAATACCCCAACAGTTGGGTCGCTACAAGGTGCGAATTATAGATCGGAGCTAAAGAAAATGTTTATCTGTTCTGAGGTGTTTTGTTTGGTAAAGGGGTTTATGTCTCTGACTTCAGGCGAATCGGTTTATGATTGTTTCAGAAACAATCATGTATCGTGAATTTCCCCATGATTGGAACTGAGTGGCACGATTCAAAATGATCAATAAAAATCCACTCAATACATTGTTGAACATAGCGAGAGAGAAATATAGACAAAAAAGCTTTTTTTTATTTTTTACAATTGAAAACGCTTGAAATGTGTATTTTTGATAAAAAGATTAATTGAATAGTGTAATAAAATATCCAAAATAAATTACTGATTGAAAGAAGTATCTTATGAGTAAATGGGCCGTTATTAGTCGTCAGTTTGAATGACGATAATGCAAATTAAATTGTCCTACTACTCTGTCTTTTTGGCATTATTGTGTCTTTATATATGTTAAAATTTCATGACAACTGGCCCTACGGAAACAATCAAATTGTTTAAAAAAAAATTGTTACATTAACTTGCATTAAAAGTTAAGATTTTTTCCCACCTCCTGTAAAGTTACTTTTTTGGAGAAATTAGGTTGTGTCAACAATAGAGAAGCCAAACTTATTTATTTTGTATTTTATTTAGAAATTCATTTTATTTATTTGGGAACGTTTTTACTCTTCAGTAAAGCCCATTTTTTATGTTTTTACAGGTTCGAATCTGGATTCAGTAGTGATTGTGCACACCATGTATGAAGTTTGAAGGAAAAAAAAAACAGCAGATTAGGCCTCATCACCACTGAGTTCAGTTGATTTCCTGGAAGAAAATTAGTGTTTGTGTTTGAATGATGTTCCCTCAAAATTAAAAAGCTGTAACTCTTTTTCTCCAGGAAATATTGACACTCCAGCCTGACCAATATGAAACTTGTCACCGATACCAATTTTCAGGATTGAAAATTCCAATAAATGATAATATCAGCCGATATAATTCAATATGGTCAAACATTAAACAAACTACAGCAGTTTTAGTTATACCTTAAACAGTGCACACTTAAACAGTTTTAGTGTTTGGTTCCCTAACCATGTTTGAAAAAGAGTAAGTGTGAAGAACCTTTTAAAGGTCACATAATGTAAAGGTTCTATAACAATTTAAGGGTTTTTCCTAGAACTTGTTGAGGGTTGTAATCCGTTTGAATAGGTTCTTCACACTCACACACAAAATACTTTAACACCTTTATATTTAGTATATTAAACAATATTAAAAAATATTGTTTAAGACTTTGTGATTAATGTTTGTAGTTAATGCGTGTGGTTAATGTTTATACTGGTAAATAATAAATCTAAGTGACCCTTATATCAACTTATTTTAGCGGTATGTTGGTCAGGCCCTGACATGGACAATAAGGCTTAATAAAGGAGAGAAAGAAAGACGAACACACAGGTATTTTTCAACACGAACTGATGTGATTTTACTGCATTTCAAAACTGAAACCTTTTATCATACTGTGCATCCAACAGAGAGAAAAAAAATGCCCTCCAGGCAAAGTGAACTTAAACAGATTCAAGTAATCAATCTTTTTAATTCACTGGGATCATGTGGATTTGGAAAGAAAAGCTGTTCTGGGAAAAACAAACAGCAAAACAGCGTCTCTTTTCAAAGCTCCTCCAGAATGCAGTTATTAAAAGCACTCAGTTGATGCATTAAGTCAATACAACACACAACATGGGTGTAGATGTGTTGGACAAAACTGTGAGGAGAAGAACCGTAGAAACAGAATTAGCAGGAAGTTGCAAGGTCAGTATACCAGTTTCCCCCCTCAATGTACTAGTTAGCAGTGTTTCCTTGTTCAGAGAATTGGTGATTCTAGAAGATTTGCATTACCCAAAATGATGCAAAAAAAAATACTGTATTCTTGTTAAAAACCTTTCAGGTAATTCTGTTTTTATGGTACGTCATTTTAGAGGGCAAGGCAGTCGGTATTTTCTTTACTGAAGCCTCCAGTTCCATTCACTGGGGTACTTTAGGTTTCCTTTAGCCTCTACTTTTTAGTTCTAACACCAGTTTTATCCTTTAGTTTTTTCTTCTGCATATGATACTCTGCAAGTCATACACATCCATATAGATAAATGAATGCTTTATGTCAGCATAAAAGGTAAGCTGGGTGACTATATATGAAGACAACAACTACAACTTTCACAGCACTGCCATTGGTTAATCTTTAAATACTCAAGCACTGTTATTCATAGATTAAAAGTAAAAGAAAACAATGTAACCCCTCCCCCCCAAAAAAGATAAACTACGGAACTTTGCTTTACCCTTATAATGTTTCATTTTATATCAATGGCATGATATACACCTGTTTTTATCCATACCACTTGGAGACTAAGTGAAAAAAAAACAAAAAAACAAAATCAAAACATCTATCGATCAGGGAAATGCTCTATATAGTCATTTAAATTTCTTTTAAAGTCAACAGTACCATGCATTAACTCATTATCTGATTAGTTTTTCTCTTTTTTTTTTACATTTGCTTGCTTCTTTTAATAGTTAATTTCTCCATAGTAAATAAATGTGTTAAGATAGTGTTGTCTTCACATAGACTGAAAGAATGCTTTTTTTAAATCCTCTAAATCGTCGTTTCTTGGGACACATCCACCCTATTGCATGTTGACACGTGTGAAGGATACAGTGGCGGTCGCGAGGCTCCAACGGAGCGATGGAGGTTTCAGCTCCTAGACGACGGCCTTTGAATCCTTGCAGTCCTGAGCGGTGGTGCCTGAGTTAGTCTGTTTACTGTCCGTCCTCTCGGCCAGGTGCTTCGCTTGTCTGCAGATTGAACATACATACACTGAACACTGGGGGGATCAAATACAGGAAAGTGATCCTAAATCAGAAAAGTTCTGACACCTCTTGCACTTTGCACCTCTTAAGCATTTCCTGGTAGGGGAGGGCAATATGGCAAAAATATAATACAGCAATATGTCCAAGGAAATTTTATGCTACAACATTTACCTTTTCAGACATCTGTTCAGTTGGAATAGAGAAAAAAGAACAAGTAGTGCAACATTTAAAAAAATACTATCAAAGACTATGATTACAACCATTTTTGTTCAGTGTTGGTCAGCGTTTTACAGATCTTGACGATATAATATCCTCAAAAAAACCATATTGTGTTGTATTTTGATGTAATTTGTCACAAAAATGATAAATATTGCCATATTGCCCAGCCCTATTTCCTGATATTACTGCATGGTGGCACTGGTGTTTTAGTCGGTTAATAGGGTAAATGTTAAGTGGCTGCTAATGTATCTAACATGGTTGCTTGCGTGTTACTCGGTAGCTGATATAGTGTTTCTAGGCTGTGGCCAAGCAGCTGCTGTGTAATCACCGGCGTTTGATATGTTGTTGCTGTAGTATTGGAGATGGTTCTTAGGATGTTGTTAGGTGGGTGTTGTAGTATCTCCGGTGGTTGGTAGGGGTTTGCCAGATGACTGCTAAGTAACTGTTGTGTTGTTGTGGTTGCTGTGGTCTCTCTGGTAGTTTCTGATGTGCTGCTATGTAGTTGCTATGATATTAGACGTGACTCCTAGGCTGCTGCTACATGGCCACTACAGTGTCTCATAGTTGCAAGGTGGTTGCTAGGGTGTTGCTAGTGCATGTTTCAGGGTGACACAAGAGGGGTGTACATAAAATGGCGGCCAACATAAAATATATTAAAATGCATGATATTTTAGGTAATTATTTAAGTTATTATTAATAATAACCGACATAAACAAGTATTCTGCCAAGAAATGTAGTTGCTTTAGAGTACGGTATCATTGCTAAGCAACTACTGACCGCTGAATGAGGAGAATAACATTCGATCACCAATCACTGTATACTGCAGACATTTCATGATTTTTAAAACTTTTTTTTGTATAACAGTGAACATACGACAACATAGCACTGTTTAATGCAAAAACTTACAGTTTATAAGTACATTTTGGTCACCAAATTACCACCGCAAGCCTTCTTCTGCCAGTCTGACGACGCCACTTTTCTCAGGCTGGAGCTGAATCTCAAACGGCTCCCTACTACCTACACAGTGCACTATGTAGGAGTTTAAATACTGACCCTTGCACCCCAACAATGAAAAATATCGCTAAAATGGTCATTTGGGATTCATCCACATTAGTACTCGACAGGCAGTGCACTGTTCGACAGCAGAAGCTAGAATTTCTAAACTTAAATGTTACACAGCACACTATTTAGCTAGGGATTACGGAGCCGTTTGGGTTTCAGCCTGGTTTTGATGCTACTTCTGACTGAAACAGACATTTGAGGCATGTAAGTGGTTCAGGTGACATTCTTCAGACTTTCATATTGCTTTTTTTCAGTGAATCGTATCATATCATGAGCACTTTAATTCAAGCCTATGATATTAATGTTGGAGTTGTTTAGCATGTTTGCTTTCTTTTACCCTGTTGGCTTGCTGACCAGCCTAGTTCTAGATAAGAAAAGTTTTCAGCCCCTCAGTTTAAACAAAAACGTTAGGTTTTTACTTCACCAGTACACTCGGTGGTCCATGCGATCAGCATTAGAGTCAAAGATTAATCCATTAACAGCAAAAGGGTTTTTCATGCCATGGCACAGTAATACAGAGTTCATTGAATTGTCGGGGCTAGACTGCTATAGGCTGAAAGGGTGGGGCTAGACTGCTATAAGCTGAATGGGTGAGGTTAGACTGCTATTGGCTGTAAGGGCGGGGCTAGAATGCTATAGGCTGAAAGGGCAGGGCTGGACTGCTATAGGTTGAATGGGCAGGCTAGACTGCGACAGGCTAAATGAGTGGGGCTGTTTTGAAACTTTAACAATGTTTACATACTGCATTAACTGTTATTTCAAAAAAGCAAGGAAAATCCAGATTTGAATTTTGATATGAAACCTATAACAACAGAAGGAAAGAGGGATCATCCTGAATAAATAAAGGTGACAGATTTCTCAGGATTTTTCCTTCTAATTTCCTTACAGGCAGTCAGGCTGGACAGTTTTTCCCTCTTAGTCTGAACGTTGTTCTGTGCTGCAAAGCTGCAGCCACTGAAAATAAAGCCCTCTAACCTTTTCTTACGACACACCTACTATGAAAATATTCTTGAACGGTCAGAGCGATTTCCGTTTTGGTGTGCCCATCATTTCCACGCTCATATTTCATTCTCCACTGCCCTACTCATCAGATAAGATAATGAAAAGGTTAGAGAGAGAGAGAAAGAGAGAGAGAAAGAGAGAGAGAGAGAGAGAGAGAGTGCGTAAGAGAGAGTGCATAAAAGAGAGAGAGAGAGAGCGCAAGAGAGAAGATGTAAAGGAAAAAGGACAGAAAGAAAAAGGAGAAGCTGAAGGGAGAAAGAGAAGAAATGAAGAAAGAAGACAGCGAGAGAGACAGAAGTACAAATGGAGAGAGAAAGAAAGAGGCGTACAAAGAAAGAGAAGTACAGAGAGAAAGCGAGAGAGAGACAGAGAGAGAGCAAGAGGATGAGAGGAGCAAGTGAGAGCGATGGCAGAAGAGACAGAAACAGAAAGAAAGAGAGAGAAAGAACGAAAGAGAGAGAGAGAGAAATAAATAGCGAGCAAGCGAAAGTGATTCCCATAGGCTCTCATTATTTGTGGATAAAGATCATGCAAAATCCTCCTCAGTCATAATAAGAGCAGAGCTGTGGTGGGGAATGGAAATCAGCACTGCCCTCCACAGAGCAGCGGCTTCACAGGGGCTTTACAATCAGCAGCTCTCTTGTACTGAGGTCAGGTGATAGACCTATTGCAGTGGTGCCTAAATTTTTTGACTCTTGGGGCCCCAAAGTGCAGTGTTTATGTTGGGCTGAGGGCCAAAAAGACAACAATATACAAATAAAGACGGCAGGTAGATTTCAAATAAAATATTTCAAATGTATTTTATAACATGACTTGGTATACTGTCACTAAAATTAACAGGAAAATAAGAATGCAATGTTCAAATTTGAACTGAAAGAAAAAAAAAAACAATGTTCTGTTGTTTAAGGTGGAAAAAGGCAGGAGGACGCTCTGTACTCTTATTTTTTGTTGTATAAAAAAGGGAATGTCGCGAGAAAAATCAATATCCAGTGTATTTCAGTGCTTTGGTCGACGGCAAAAGGTGTGAAAAGTGAACTTTTGATGGAGTGTTCCTTTTAGCGCTGCGGTCTTTTCTGTTGCGGCTGTGGAACAATGGAGTACACGTTTTGCCATTGTCTGTCTACCGTCGACATGTGAACGCAGCATAAGCACTGGTCCTATCATCGCAAGAGATAGCTAGCAGGTGAAATTGGGGAGAAAATAGGGTAAAGGCTCATTTTGCCCAGCAGGCCTCAGTCTGGGCAGCCCTGGGTCAGACACTGACATGTAAAGCCCCAGGAAAACTGAATTTGTGTTTTCTTTCTAAGTCAGGTAATCTTTGTGGGCCACAATATACATTATGTTAGAAGATTTGTGCTTTAAATTGGGCATTATTGAAACGGAACATTTGTACTTTCACTGTATTATATTTGTGAGAGAAAAAAAGGAACATGCTTTCTAAACTTACATTTTACTTATATGTACTCACATTTCACATGATCCGTTCTCTACATTAATTGGTCCATCCACTGGGTCCAGTCCTTGTTCTGAAAGCTGTTTCAAGGCACTAAGAGCAGCCTGTGGATGAGAAAAGAGAGTTTTACAGTAAGAAAGTGACTTCACAAACCAAAACAAAAAATAAAAAGACATTTCAGCATCCAACATTAAGTCAATACATGTAATATTTCTCACTATGAGAGTATTGTAAGTATATGATTATTACATCTATTTTAAGTCATTATTACTAATAAAGTAATCTTATCCAGTGAAAAGATTCCAGTGAACTGAGAGATAGTCTTGCTATGTTTTCAAGCACTACTTCAAACCAAATTATCTTTTTTATTTGATAGAATGTGTTTAGAATCAGAATAATCTCTTAATATTCTTATATCTTAAAATACTAAACATACTGCCTACATTTAAGACTCTCAGTTTTCAGCAAGATGTTATCCACTTTAGTTCTGTCGCTTTTATACAAAAGTTTAACAAAGTAAAGGAAAAAAGTATATCACAGAAGCCGAAATATATTTCATTGTTTTAAAATTGGCAGTTGCCAAAAAAACAGTAGTTCTAGCAGTAAATAATCTGTGATTGTAGACGCTCCGCTCACAGATGATATCTACTAAAAGCTTTTTTGTATGAAGTGATATCCTCACATGGTTTTCCTGCAGTTGAGCTTTCAATGCAGTTCTGAGAATCTCCTGCCTCTACACGTCACGCTAAAACAGCAGTCTGTGGCTGGTTATTTTGCATGTCAGACAGCCCTTTCTTGTCAAAGCAGGCGGTTCTTCACCACAATATGCAACAAAGCCCACCAGACTCGCTGACGATATGCAGAACACACCAGAACACACAAACTCCAGTGTTACACTGCTTTAATACAACAGTTCATCAGTAATAGGGATATCAGTGGTATTCACTACTTTTACTGCTTTGGTAATACAACAGAGAAAGATTGTATGAGAGAGAGAGCAGGCAAATATGTGTGTGTGTGTGTCCACCTGGTCAGCGTGTGTGATGCTTACTGACTTTTTCTCCTACACACTGCCAATGAACACCAGATGTGCAGGATGGAGCGACCATGACATAAATCTAACAGCACCCTCCCGCCCCCCACCCCACCCCACCCCACCCAGATGTGAGGGAGACACTCACACATAGTTATAATACTGTCTCACCCATCACTCCATATGTTGAGCCACACATACACATACAAGCATCTGATCTGAAGACAGCTAAAGGCAATTAAAGACAATTAAAGATGACTAAAGACAGCTAAAACAGAAACACAACTAAAGACAGCTAAAGACAACTGATGACTGATATAGAGAACTAAAGACAGCTGAAGACTGAAAAGGCAACTAAAGACAGAAAGACAACTAAACACAAAATCAACTAAAGAAAACTAAAGACAGAAAGACAGTTAAGGACAGAAAGACAACTAAAGACAGCTAAAGACAACTATAGATGAGTAAAGACTGACAAAGGGAACTTAAGATAGAAATACAGATAAAGGCAACTAAAGACAATTAAAGATGACTAAAGACAGCTAAAGACAACTGAAGACTGATACAGAGAACTACAAACAGCCAAAGACTGAAAAGGCAGTTGACAGAAAGACAACTAAACACATAATCAACTAAAGAAACATAAAGACAGAAAGACAACTAAACACAAAATCAACTAAAGAAAACTAACGACAAAAAGACAACTAAAGACAGCTAAAGACAACTATAGATGAGTAAAGACTGAAGAGGAACTAAAGATAGAAAGACAACTAAAGATACAGGCAGCTGAAGAAAACTACAGAGGACTAAAGACTGATACAGGCAACTGAGGATAAGTACAGACAACTTAAAAGGCAACCAAAGACAGAAAGACAGCTAAAACAGCCAAAGACAACTAAAGACTGATAAAGGGAAATAAAGACAGTTAAAGACTTATACAGGCAACTGTGGATAAGTAAAGACAACTTAAAAGGCAACCAAAGGCAGAAAGACAAATAAAAACAACTAAAAACTGCTAAAGACAACTAAAGACTGATGTAAAGGAAATAAAGACAGCTAAAGACTGATAAAGGCAACTAAAAGCAGCAAGACAGACAAAGGCAGCCAGCTAAAGACAAATAAAGACTGGTGAAATGGAAATAAATACAGCTAAAGACTGATAAAGGCAACTAAAAGCAGCTAAAGACAACTAAAAACAATTAATGGCAACTAATGACAGCTAAAGACAACTAACAGCTATGAATGACAGTAAAAACAACTACAGCCAGCTAAAGAAAGCTACAGGCAACTATAGATTACTAAAGATGACTCAAGAAAAATATACAGCTGAAGACAACTTAAGACAACTAAAAGTAACTTACAGCGGCTAAAAACAGATAAAAGTAACTAAAGGCAGCTAAAAACTACTAAGGGTAGGTAAAGGCAACAAAAGACAACTTCTCTTCCAGTAAGATCACATATGTTACTGGGGCCATCAAAGTACTAAAGAGTAAAGGAATCTACACTTTCACACTCAAAAACTTGCCAATTTATCACCTTAATTCTCTATGAAATTCTATAAGAAAGTAACAAAAAAAGCCCCTACAAACAATAATGAATGCTGCATTAGTGGGAGGTTAAAGGACAGAGTGAATGAGACTGAATGACTTAATGATGGAAAAAAAACACTGCTAACAGCAGAAAAGCTCTGTGCGAATGTAACACACGCTGTATGGAATGTCTTCTCCTTATCTGCTCCTGAAATCTCTGTAAATGATGAAGGCTTATCTATAGTGGAACATGCTGCCCCGCTTTACACTGAGTGCATTCCCAGCATCTGCTGTAAATCAAATTTAAATTGAATTTTTTTTGATTGATTACGAAAGTATGTAGGTCACAAGGAGGAGAGGACAGTTATTCAGCAAAGTAACTGTTCAATACAGCAGAAAACCCATTTAGAAGTGGTCAGACTTTTTCTTTGGACTTTTTTAGTGAAGGTAGAACATTGATTTTTATTTTTACATAAATATGTATAAAACTATACAGTACTGTGCAAAAGTTTTAGGCACCTAAAACAGCTGAAGACTGATACAGCAAACTAAAGACAGCTACAGACTGATACAGCAAACTAAAGACTGCTAAAGACAGAAAGATAACCAAAGATAGCTAAAGACTGTGAAGGACAGAAAGACAACTAATGACAGCTAAAGACAACTGAAGACTGACAAAGACAACTGAGGAAAAGTAAAAACAACATAAAAAGGCAATCAAGGACAGAAAGACAACTTAAGAATGATAAAGGGAACGAAAGGCAACTAAAGACTGATAAAGGCAACTAAAGACAGAAAGACAAAGGTAGCCAGCTAAAGACAACTAAAGACAACTACATACAACTACAGACATCGAAAGGAAGCTTTAAAACAACTACAATGTTACAAAAAATTGACATAAACATGTATAAAACATATACAGTACTGGGCAAAAGTTTTAGACACCTGAGAAAATTAGAATTAAAAAGCTGTTTATCTGGGCAGTACGTGTTTATTTACTCAGAAAAACACTAATATTAGAGTAAAGACAAATAACATTAATATCCAAGTGTAATAACTAGTGACTTTATGCAAGTCAGTGTGTTTGTTTAACCATTTACAAACCTTTATTTCAAGACACCCAGTATTAATTGCAGTTATCATCTAATATCTGCTTTATCTAATCACTAATTCATTAAATTAAATCAGGTGCTACTGATGAAACTGAATAAATCTAGTTGATGGCTAGAAGCATCCAGAAGAAATCTGGAACCAAACTTTGCTCTTCAAACTCAAACAAGATATCAACTATTTTTTTTTCACAACAGGAAATTTCTCAGTTGTATATTTATGCTTACTTTCATCTATTTTGAGAAATACAAATATTGATATAATTGGGGTGAAATGGGTTATTTTTGTAATACAGTACTGCACAATAGCCAGAAACCTTACATGTATTTAATTTCCAGTCAAAACAGCCACACAAGCATCATTGAGAGAGAGGAGAAAATCAAGCTCCACTCTCGCTTCAGATCTGAAAAAATCCACAGGTGTTTCTGTCCATCCTACCACTGTGAGAAGACAACACAGAGCTATGAGTCTGAAAAGACGTGCAGCTGTCAAGAAGCCCTTACTGACAAAAACAGAAACAAATGAAGGCCAAAACTGAACATATGAGATGTGGAGTAAGGTTGTATGGACTGGAGTCTAAATTTGAGATCTTCGGAAGTGACAGAAGGCAGTATGTAGAGCACCAAAGCAACAAAGGACTCTGTGAATTTAAACCATCAACAGTCAAGCAAGGCAGAGGATCAGTGCAGGTTCGGTGCATCTGGAGTTGGTGATGTGTTTTTGAATGAAGGCATCATGCATGCAAACGTAAAACGTTTGATTCATTCTACAGTGAGATAATGATCCTAAGCACACCACTGAGAAGTTCTTGTCAAACAAAGAAGCTGCTGGTGTTCTCAGGACAATGGTTTGGCCATCCCAGAGTCCAGACCTCAACATCACGAAATGTGTTTGAGAAACTGCAAAACTGACTTACAAGACCGAACTTTGGAAAATTATCCCTGCAGATTTCTTCAAAAAGCTGAAAGTGAGCCTCCTGAAAAGAATAGAAGCTGTAATAAAGGTAAAGAGTGGACACACTAAATACTAACACGTTAGATATTATAACTAGTTGTTGAGGCCTCTGTGTAATTTTCTAATAGGTGGAAAAATGAATAACTTGTAAGTCTTGACCTACAGGTTTGGACCAGACTAGAAACAAATAAAGTCTGGTCTCTGACTTCTGCACAATATGTCTATAAGCATCGTGATGTTCTACTTTTGCCATGTTGCCCACCCCTGAGCAGCATCTGCTTCTCCATGGCCTGATAAAGCCCATGCATCACTGACCATCAGGCTCTAAGACAAATAGCCCTCTATCTGCAGTAACAATCCTCAACTGTGGCGTTATTTTTCTACCGAGATAGAGTGGGGATGAGTGAGATATCAACACAGGTGAAATGTGTTTAGTTTAGAGCGACAGTCTGGAAGTGGTCCATCCTTGCTAGACCCA